GTGGACAGCGTAAATTAAGAGCGTCAACAATTAATACAATAATATTTTATTCTTTCTACAAAGATCTACATGGTATTATAGGCTAATGACACTTTAATATAATAGGAATGTTTTTAGGTACAGAGCAAATGGACCACCATTTATGTAATTCACATAAATATGTACGATTATCCTAATTTTTTTTTTTTGTATGTGTTTAAACGTGCGAATTAATTTGAATAGGATGCGAGTTTCCAGTCCGCATGCAATTATGTTGTCTTTATATAATTAAATTCTTATTGTTGGGAGATAATGAGGATTTATATCATAATATTCCGTTTTGTGGAACTTCCGTTTATGTAGGATTTATCGATTAATTTTATTGGCCCATAGTTTTTGTGTAGAATATTATTTACATATAAATACATGCACACAACTCTTGGGCGGAAATTGTATTGAAAGAGAAAGAGATCTACAGTCATTAGGCTATTTCCGATTAGACAATTACTCTCGCGAGATCTTGTGATTATCAAAGATATTTCTATCCACTATTGCGTTATCGCGCACCAAGATAAATGTTATAAAGACATTGGCCTAATTTACCGCTTTAGGATTGGCCGAAATTTCCTATCTGCGAACAATCAATAGAATAATCAATTATAAATTATTTCATTATATAAATCCTTTTTAATTGAGAGTCAAATTGGCGCAATATATTCTCTATTATACTTCTCCGACAACGATATTTTAACATTTTAACATTTAGGGATTGTTTCATAATGTTCAAGACTACTATAAACATTCCACAGTAAGATAAATAAAGCTAACTCTTCCAGTATCAGATTGAATATAGAGGTCTTTTCTGAAATACTTTTTCGTTATTTTTAGTTTAGTTTTAAAAATGAAGAAAATCCGTGAGAAATATCTATTTCGTTAATTTAAATATCTGTAATTTTATTATTTAATAGGTATATATATAGTGTGTGCTATAAATTGTCTTTATTATTGTAATAGTGCATATAGTTCTAAACATTGCATACTGATTAGATACAGAAAGAAAACAAAGTACAAATTGGATTTTTGAAAGAAATTATTAAAAGTTATGGAAAATTTATTGATTACAAGGTACTGGAAGGGTTAAGAAATGATCGGATGATAGAATTCAATCGCTATCATCCTTCACGTGGAAATGTGACGTAATAGATGTTATTTTATTCATTTTACAACTTTGAAACTTTAGACCCTTATTAATTTCTTAACTTGTTTATTCATTTCGTATACTTGAATTAGAAAATTTCATTTACAATTGTACATTAAAATAAAATTTATTACGGTCGGATGATAGAGAAAATTATACATTAAGTAAGTTTTTGACATTTGAGAGAGCAGGTAAAAAATTTGGAATATAATCGCTATATTTATATTAATGTAAATGTATCGGAAGAATTAGATGAGTAGTATATCTTGAAATTTTTTAGAAAACTAAAACTATAAATTAATTAGAAATATAAAGGATGTTCAATCACACAGCAGCATTTAAAATTTACAACTATAAATATCGCTCTATGAATATGAACTGAGGTACATGGTAACATTGGAAAATTTGAATTGAAATTTTCAAACTTATACATATAATTTTACAAGACGCATTGAAGACTATAAATTAAATATATAAAATAAATAATACGGAAAATTAATATACAACTTAACATTTAATGCACTGATTGAAAGAAGAAATTCAGGATGAAGAAAACATGCTCCGGAATGCAATATAGTACCGTATTGAACTTTTTTGAAGCTACACGCCACTTCTGTAGTCGGTATCATCCGTACAATAATGGAATTAGAGAAACCAATGTCACATTATAGTTTATTTTTATCTTCCCGTTTATAGTTTAGAAACGGGAAGATAGAGACGTGTCTCCCGTATATACACATATATCACATACCTCTACTTTCAAGATACAGAATGACATTACTCATTTTATAAGTCCACGGTATTACATTCACGATGCAGCCTGAAAGAATAAATTAGAAAGTGGTTTGTGTATGGCTGCAGTAAATTGTCACGATTCTCATTAAACTTCTATCTTTTCGATATCACCGGAGCAGAGCTTTGCGATCAGATATCGAATCATAGATTATAGTGCCGTTCATTACTGCAGCAAAAATCGCGTCAATCCTTGGAAGATGGAGGTGATTCCCTACTGTTGTCGCTGGTGAAGCTGGATAAACCGAGGCCGCCGATCTCGTGGCTGGACGAGCCCGTCGGTGAATTGCTGCTGCTCCTGGCACCGCTCAAAGCCGTCACATTCGTGCTATCCGCCGGTATCAGGCCTTCCTTCATGCGCTTCTTCTGCTTCATACGCCTGTTCTGGAACCAGATCTTCACCTGCGTCTCGTTAAGCTGCAGCGCGGAAGCGATCTCGATGCGTCTCGCTCGCGTCAGGTACTTGTTGAAATGAAACTCCTTCTCCAGTTCGGTCAGTTGTTTATTCGTGAAGTTTGTGCGTCCGGTATTGTTGAAGCTACCGGCGATACCGGCCAACGAACCGGCGATACAACTCACTGTTCCACTGGCGGTACTTCCGTATACCGAGGAGCTTGGCCCCGCAACTGTACCGCCACCGTACTCGATCGCATTCGGATTCGCTTTGGTCGCTGAAACAAAAAATTTTTATTTTTGCTATAATAAAATAAGGCGTACACTAATTATACAGACATTGGTTTGAATTGATTGACTGAATATTGTTGGCATATTTATCTTGATTAATTTATAATCAATTTTTTCAGCGAACATTGAGCAATTGAAAATAAAATAATGCTTTTCACAAGGAAAACTTCAAAGAGATCAATAATATAGGATAAGAAGATCTTAATTTCCATATAAATTCAATTATATTGTATTTCATTGCGATTAAAATTTAGAGTTTAATTGTCGAAATATTTATGAAAGGATTTTTGTCTGTCAGAGACTTGCTTAGGACAAATTTATTGAAAACGACATACGCATATCTCTTAAGTAACTAATGTGGAAACATCTCGTGTTCAAATAAGTAAAGTATTAATTGAAGTAATAGAATATTCTTGTATGGGAGATAAAACGGTTTATAAAATAATATCAAATATAGTAACAAAAGCGATATCCTCATTGAATGCAGACGTTTCTGCTATGTGTTTTCAATTTGGATGTAATCTTCTAATTGTAAGTATGATAGAACGTACAACAGACGTGGACGTAATATGTGTCGAATCAAGATCAAGTCAAATCCTTAAGTGACAGTCGTTTGCCGGCCATAACAGCTGGTCACTACCCGGGGAAAGCAGTTTTAGGGAGATGACCTGTGCAAAGCTGAAGGAACGATAGGGTTGATCCCCTAAATCTGGATCAAATTGCATCAGCTGTAGAATAAACATCCGCAGTTACAGCGCCGTTACGTGAAATTTTTGATTTTTTCGCTTTATCGATGTTTTACATATGGTACGATTTTTAATATTCAATTCATTCCGACTATTTTACAACGCAGATAAATTTTTGGTTTGGGAGACAGATGATGCAATTAAAATATTGAGGACAAAAGTGACGCGCTTTAGGCAGAGGACGAGGATACATTATGAAAATTAGATTGTTATTTAGACTACGGTATGTAGCAATCAATTTACTTAATGGCAGGGGATGGACGAAACTGTCAAGCCACCGCCTTAAAGTCACGTCTTCCCCATTATGTACATTTTCCTTCGACATCTTTAGCTTCGCCCTTCAATATTTTTGTAATACATTTTCGTTCTTTTTATCTGCTCCAAAGAAATTATAATATTCTGGCATCTCTCTCTCTCTCTCTCTCTCTCTCTCTCTCTCTCTCTCTGTTCTTTTTATCTGCTCCAAAGAAATTATAATATTCTGGCATCTTTCTCTCTCTCTCTCTCTCTCTCTCTCTCTCTCTCTCTTTCTTTCTCTTACATCTATCTGTGAAAAACAATTTATATATATTTAAACTAAAAAATTTATATTTGCGTAAGATGGCTTTCGCGAATTTCCTAATATAACCGAAGAGATCAGTCACTTATACCGGGGTCCCTGAATTTAGCTTGCGGCCATTAAGCTTACGCTTTTCCAGGCCGAATAATAAACTTGGACAAGTTCTATTAGGCGTGCCAGTGCCAGATACAATGAAATGTTTCTCGTTTCTGCGACTCATTCATCAATTTAGCACTTTAACGGTAGGACTGGCTACGGTGTCGTTGATTTTCTATACTAACCTTCTTTAGGAACAACGGAGGCATTGTATTAATGAAATGTAGAATAAGGATCTGTAATAAATTCCGATAAATAACAATGGCATTGCCAGCGCCATTCTAATATAAATGTTCGCTAAATAAAAAGATCTGCGCCGCGAATTTATATTTTACAAACGCGAGAAATAAACGAGATTAAATCTCTCTCTCTTTCTCTGTTATCACAATTATCGACAGTAAGTTAGTTCATGCATTCGTGAGGTAGAAATTATATCGTGACCACGCATCGAATATTCTTAAGTCAGTGGCCTCTGTAATGCCTTAAGTTCAACGCTATACTGTATGCAGAAATTAATAGTGTGTTACGTACAGTTGCCGATGCGGGAGAACATTTGTTTCGCGAATTAAACTCGTGATATCGACAAAGTGGGAAATGTGGGAAAGGGTTGGCATGCAGGAGCAGGGAAGAGAGATCCTTAATAACGCCGAGTCGAGGGGAAGGCGCATTGACACCTCTAATTATCTTCCATAAGACATGTGGGTGCACCCTCAGAGTCACCTTTTACACCACTGTGATTATATTGTCACTACCGAATCTTCTGTAATCACGCGAGGGGATTTTAATCGTAGTCGCGATGCGGGCTGTTGCATAGATTTTCAAGAAAGAGAAAGAAAGAGGAAAAAACATTACGAAAAGATTATTAATATCACTCGTAATCTATCACAGATTTGAAAACTACCATAGATAACAGCGTAATAAAAGAGTTATATGATATATTACACCTATCAAATATATTCTTTCAATAAGAGATATCGCTGTCTTTGTTTTTAATTATAGACCATTGGATTATCGAAAAACGATGCATATATTTATTTAGGAACTTGGGTAACGCGGCGTTGATGCGTATAATCCAGACATTAGATACAAATCAAATACAGCTGGATCCTGAATACATTTTGGTACGTGCGTTTTACGTCGGTAAAAAAAAACTTTTACGAGCTAAAAACGACTTTAACAGGTATTTCGTTTTTGTTTCAAATACGCGCATATGTCGTCTAGAGTCTAGAAAATTCTGTGAATTTGGAAAGGCATCAATGCGCCCGTATATCTCTCTATCCTTTTTGTAACATAATACACAAGCATCTTGTATTCTTCTGCGTGTGTTTACCATCACCTTTCCTTACATCATCCATAGAACGTCCCCACGGCTTTTAGCCTTTGAATAATATTTGAATTGCGTAATGTTCCTTGAAGAGAGAGGGGAGACCGTCGACGCATAAGAGCACGCATAAGAGCAGATGATCCTGTATGATCAAGGGATTGACTTCCCGCAAGTAGCTGCCACTTTATTGTAAATAATCAAAAATCATTTTTGTTTACATATATATTAGAAATATATAAAGTGAAATATATAATGACTCTTTTAAAAAAAAAAGGAGAAAAGATGACATATAATTAATGTATGTGAATATTAACAAATTAGTGAAAAAGATAAAATCTAAGATGTTCTTTGTATAAAACATTATTGATACAAGTGCGTCTTCAGGTTCTGTAATCTTTCTAATCTTATATTCTCCCCTTTTCCTTTCTCGAGAAGCTCTCGCGGTTCGATAATCGCTCGTGACGCGCAAGAGCAAAAGTGATAGAATTATATATGTATTTTTGTGGAGAGAAAGCAATTATTTCCTCTTTTTCTTATATAACTTCTTTGTTGCAATATATTTCTTAGTATATATATGTTTTTATTTTTCTCTTATAGTTGCCTTGATAAGTAATATTAATCTAGGTGAGAGATTTCATCGACGCGGTAGCTTTGAACGAAGGTAGAGATTAGCATGCACACGCGGTTAGTTAGAAGCCAAGCCACGTTTAAGCATCGCGCACCCTCACATAAATTTATGCATTTGTATGCTTCAAAGTATTACGTACTCGTTGTTAACTTAATATCAACAAACTTATTTATATATACTCGATTTGCGCGTATACACAAATAAAAATTGCATTTTACTTTCGTGAGATATAATATTTTTATATTTTTCTTAATATTCTATTACATTTATCGATTCTATTTATTGTTGCGAATGTGGTAATTTGAATATTTTTTATTTATCGTACAGAAATCATTAAAAAACCGCAAATTTCATTAAATAAATAATATTAAATTTATATTTTTAAACATTTTTAGCGAAAGTATATTAAAATTATCAACAATTTTTTAAACTTATGTACACATTCTCTGTTGCATGTCGTATCGACATGCTGACTGTGGAAACTGACTTTGATAAAATCACCATTGATATCAGTGTGAAATAACTTAGTAGTCGGCACAGAATGACGACACGATGTATCAGCAAGTGTTACGGGATACGTGATTTAGCACATCCGGCTGCCTGCCGGCAAGTGGTTGCAACGCAGGTTACGCGCAAGAACCGAAGCCGTTGATTTCAATGATGTAATTTCCGTAAATTTAATTGCGATCGATATAGATGTGAAAAAATTCTAAAAAGTTTTAAGATAAAAAAAAAAATATTTGGCTACATCTTACACACTCGATGCATCGTGGCCTCCTCTCAGAATTATATTTTTAATGCAAACGTAATCAAAATTGATATCTTTGCAATCGGTATTTATAATATATCTTTTGGTATTCAAAGAAATCAATGTTGCAAAAAGTAGAAAATTCTTCAGAATTTTTTCAGAGAAAGAGATATATTCTCTTACGCTAATTATTTGCGTGTATTTGCCGCTATTGAAATTCCCGAAAATTATATTTCAATCCTCGATCGCGTCAAGAATTTAAGGAATACACAATTGAAATTTTCCGAATCACCTGATCCAACCGAAATTTTTTTCGCGAGGGTATCCATCTAGCCGATTTATCGCAAGAACTGACAAAACGATTTCGTCGGCACGGTTCCTTCCATTCGCAACCCCTTGTCAGTCATCGTCATGCCCCGTCGGCCGCGTTGATTTCAGCATTATGATAGGTAATATCCTGAGTCACAGTCGAGTACGAAAAGGCTACGTTGTGTACCATAACGGCGTACGCGAAAGGGCTGCGTGCAGCACGTTCGACATTCACACCCCCGGGGTTCCCCCGCGAACGCGTTCGTGTGTATGCGTTCGTGAGTATGCCCGAAGCATTTCCCGCTGAAATTAGGCTCAGCACGACACTTCGCGGGGGTCGTTGATAAGTTTCGCGCGCTTTCTTCGAGCAACAGCTCGCCCCCGAGCTTTGGCACAGGTGCAGTATTGCTTTTTTCCTTGGGGGTATGTGAAACGCGCTTCTCCATGAAATTTTTTATTCGACGCTTTACTTTTAATACATAAAATAAGAAAACTTGTCATATGCTATAATTATTCCTCTGTGCATGCGAAAAGAAAATTAATTGCAAAGCTTGACTATATAATTTATCTTCTTAAT